ATCTCGTGCTTGATATAGTAAAGCATTCGGACACGTAACAGTACTCTGTACATAATATAAAAATTATTTACAATATTTTAATAAAACTAAACAATAAATTTACAAATTACAAATTTAAAAAAAATTGCATTACTCCAAAAATTGTATAAATTTATTTATGGTACGTACTTATTTGCATGACGACTCAAGTGTTTCCTGTAATTACTTTCAAGAAATATATCTCCGTCATATTTTTCAGCGTTACTCCAATGGTTGGGATCATTCGGACCTCCATTGATAACTGATCCGCGCGTTTCTCTACCTTCTCTGACTCGCCCCTTTTTCTTTTGCCTATTATTTCGTCCACTAGTATTAACACATATAGTTTTGATCTTTTCTCCATTTTCTACTGGCGTAATAAGATCACAAATAAAGTTACGAATTTTTTCATCGCCACGATAATAACGAAGGCAGTAGAGTAAAATGACTCGTGCGCAGTCTTCAACGTCAACTTCACGCCATCCTCGACGGAATTGACTATGTTGAAGAATCTCTTCCCATCGACCCCATCCAAACGTAAGCAGACCTCGTTCTACCTTGAAGCATTCACTTCGTGCCCAACTACCATACACCACTTCACCTTCTCGTGGAACATATTCGTCGCAGAATTTTCGAGTCTTCTTACCAAATTTATCTCTTCGTTTTTTACCTTGTAATAATAATAAAAAGAAATAAATTATTACATTTTATATTATGAATTTAACATATTGATATAAAATATAGGGAAATCTTATCTTTCATGATGGAAACGTAAATGATTTTATAACAACAGCAAGCAATAATACAAAAATCATGTAACAAAATAAAGTGGTTTTATTCAATGTGAATTATTAATAAATTGTTATAATTTAAAACTTTAAATTGCCCTACAATATTTAACGAAACCATTGATAATTACAAACATATATATTGAATAATAATTATCTACTTTGACAAAAAATAATAAATTGCACAAATAAAGTTAGGAAATGAAAAAAAAGGTATTTGAGAAATATTAATAAACTTTTCTTAGCTAATATGATGTAAGAACGAAACAATATCTATATTCGTTTATTAATACAGCAAAAGGAATAATTGTTTGATTTGTCATGCATTGCACAATATTATGTCCCAAAATTATACTGTAATATAGATTTCGCATAATATAATAAGAATAAATTTTCCATAAAATTACAAAATAATATATCTTTTCAAATGTTTTGTCTTATGACAACATTTTGGGGCACTTTATGTAGCAGAAAATCACCAAAAGTAATATAACAAAAAAAAATGTAATATAACAAAAATAACCTACAAATTATTATAATAATACTAATATTGTAATTATTAGCGTTATAGACATGCATGCATGTAATTATGCTCGTGTGTATGTAACATTTATCAAAAATACTAAAAACCGCTTCAAAAAGAAACAAAAATGCAACGAAATAGTCTAATTGATAGTTATTGTAAAAATTTTATTTTAAAAGCATTGCTTACTTTCGTGAAATTAAACTTGCTAAAATACTGTTTTACCATCTTTTAAAAATAGTTAAGAATTCTATGATAAATTCTGCATTTGTTTACTAATGTAAGTATAAAAACTTTCTTAGAATAAAACTGCAAAGATATTTGCTCTATTGCATGGATCATATATGTACAATGCTATTTTTATATACAGGGTAATGTTACTACTTGTAATATGTATTCTAATTTTTATATGAATATATATTATGCACATTATGTTTTATTACACAAAAATTAAAGAACTGTCAAATAAAAAATTGATTAAATTGAAGAACTATTTTACTAATTTATGGTTAAAAAGTGTTCAAGTATTTGGAAATAAATACATAAATATGACCCAATACCTTTGTAATTATCGTAGGTTATTAGTCCACTCTAGATATCACAGTGATTCAATGAAGTAATAATGCTAAAAATGGTATTGCCTTAACACGAACTAACAATGAACATACCTCTACCTGTTAACCCACTACTTGTTTCATCGTCACTGTTATCATCCGAACTATCAAGATCCGACATGACAACAGATTCATCATGACCATATCGTTTAATTTGTGTTCTTCGCCTAGGTTCTGATATTACTAATTCATCCTCTTCCTTTTTCTCTGTAGTATCAATTTCAGCTTTCTTTGCCCATTTTTTCCAAAAATCTGGATCGTCAATATTTATATCTGATCTATTAGATGAACACGCAAAACTGGCCTTCGAAAATGTCGATCCTTTTTCTGCTTCTATCGTAATAATCTATATAATTGAAATTTTGTAAATTAGTATTAAATAAAAATAAAATATCTAATACAATAATAAGTTTTTAATTACTTGTGTTCTCCGTTCAAGTATCTGTTCTATATCTTCTTCACAAAATTTATCTCCAGCATTGTCATCATCCATAATAGCACCATAAGCACCCTTCTTTAATAAATCTTCTATCTCCTTTTTGGTTAATTGCTTATTACTAGGATCTTTACCACCTTGACTTGTATTCATAGATTGTAGAATAGCTTTATCTAATCCAAGCTTTAAAGAAGCTTTATCGAACATTTCTCTTTCATAAGTATTTCGACACAGTAAGCGATATACTTTCACCATCTTTTGTTGGCCAATTCTATGACATCGAGCTTGAGCCTATCATAAAAATCATTAACTTATATATTCATCGTTTAACAATTTATAAAATATTTTAATTTCTTATCTGCTGCTGTAAGATTAATGCCAAGACCCCCTGCTTTGGTACAAAGAAGAAATACGAATCTATCAGAATCAGGTTTACTATAACGGTCAATTGCAGCTTGTCTTAAATTTCCTCGAATACGACCATCAATTCTTTCATATGGATACCTGAACAGATAATTTTAATAAGATAATTGCCAATTTACATACTATTGAACTATAATTTTCAATAAAGCAACTATAATATTAATTCGGAAACAAAGAAAATTTACAACCAAAATAAGTAACTTACTTTTTATATAATAAATAATCTTCCAACAAATCTAAACATTTCACCATTTGACTAAATATTAACACCCTATGTCCACTAGCTTTGAGTTTAGGCAGTAATTTATCAATTAAAACCATTTTTCCAGAACTATTCACTAATGCATGATAATAAGCTTCTGAGTCTTCCTTTTCACCAGTCTTGTAATCCAAT